CCCCGGCCCCCGCCCCGCCCCGCCCCCCCCGGCCCCGCTGTCCTGATCGGGTAGCTGGGCTCCGGTGCGCCCGCGTCCGAGCCCGCGCCCGTGCCACCTTGATGGGCGTGTATGCGCGCATGCGCGCGCGCGTGCGCCTCACAAACCATGGGCGCTGCCAGGGTGTTAGCTCGCCCCATGGGTCTGGTCGCCTGGTGCTGGCGCCAGCCAGCGCACTGTCGCCCCACGACACCGGCCTCCCTCTCGCCCAGCCATCTGGAGGAGCCGGGGGGGGGGGGGACCATCTTCTCCGCCCCCGCCCCCCGAAACGGGTCCGAATGGCTGGGCGGGGAAAAGCACCTGGCGGCCGGGTCAAGTGCCGGTCCCCCGCGAAGACACATTCAGCACAATTCCGCCCTGTCACACCTTCCCCAGGTGCCTCGCCGCTCGGGCGCCGCTCGCTGGTCGTCTTTAGACTAGGCTCGCCGGGGCCGGGAGATGGCCCGGAGGGAGGGGGGAGGGCGGGTCAAAATCGCCTTGGCGTTGGTGTGTTGGCGCCCTCCATTCGTGGTTTAGAGGGGCGCTGCTACCGGGGGGGGGGGGGGGCGGCGGCAGCCAAGCGGCGTGGGTGGGGCTGCCGGTCGTGTTCCAGCCATCGGGCCGTGTGAGGGTGCTGGCGCTGATCTTCCGCGAAACGCCTGGTCCACCGCGCCGGCACCCGCTGTTGTGGTTGTTGTTGTTCTCCGCTCTCGGCGGGCCGGGCCTCCTTTGCTGGCCGGGCAAGCCGGGGGCGCAGCCTCGGTCACCCGGCGGCGTGGGACCAACTCAATCGTGCCCGCGAAGACACAACGCTGGCACGCGGCTTGCACACGCGCCCAAGATCAGTGCGTGGCCCCGGCGGATGCACCTTGCCCCGCCCCCCAGTCCATTAGATCTCTCCCTGTTGACCGGGTCCCCTTTTGCCCAGAGCCGTCGACTCCGGTGGGGCATCCGTGCTCGGGGGCGGCGACCGGGGCGGCGCAATCGGCGGGGGGCGCCCGGCAAGTGCCCAGCCGGCGAGTCACGACAAGGCGTAGGCGCGCCCGGCAAAGTGCCCGCTCGGATGTTGGTACTCCGTCATGCCGCGGGATGCATCTTTCCAATGGCGCGCGCGCGCGCGCGCACCCGTGTGTGTGTGTGTGTGTGTGTGTGTGTGCGCGTCGATGGGAGGACGCCTCGCCAGCTGCCTCTCTTGGCGGCCAAGGCTTCGGCATGTGCGGGCCCACCGTAACGAAGTGGTGCGGCTTCCCGGCCTGGGGGAGGGTGGCGGGCGCGGGCCAGGCGGCCGGGGGAGGGAGGGGGGGGCGGCCGCGCCAGGTGCCAGGTGCCGGGGCCTCCCCCGGCGGAGGGAGGGAGGACATCCAAAAATGAGTCCCCCCCGCGCCCCGACACCCGGGAATTGCTCTAACCTGACTTTCTCAGTGCCTCATCCCCTCCCCCTCCCGAAGCCCCGTTCCCCCACAATGACCGGGCAGAGTGCGTCCCCCCCCTCCCTCCTCCTCTCTCAACGCCGATTGCTGCTGCTCCCCTCAACCAGCCTCTCTCTCTCTCTCGCTCTTTCTTTTCCTCGCCCGTCCCTCTCTCGCCCCTCGCCCCTCGCCCTGCCTGCGGGTCTCACCATTGCTGCCCTGCCCCTTGCTTAGCTTTCGGCCTGTTGTCGGTTGCGGTCTTCGCCCTGGCCTCGGCCATGGGCGTCGCCTCGGCCACCTCGGCCACGCTCCCCCTTACCCCGACGGCCCCCTCCCTCCCTGCGGTCCTGGACCTTCTGCGTGACTGCCACAACGGCGGCCGCCTGGCTGTCTACAACAACAGCCTCACCTGCAACCTCCCCACCGATGCGGTCTGCCTGCCGACCACCGTGTCCATCGGCCTGTCCTCGGCTCCGGTTGATGTTGACATGGAGCTCTGTTTCGGCGCTGGCTTTGCTTCGCCGATCCCCGGGTGCTCGGCCTACAGTGTTGACCTGACCTCGGACCGTCTGATGGAGGGCAAGACCCCGCTTCCCCGCTGCAGTGCCTGCAAGACCGGCTTCAGCCTGGTCGGCGACGCGGTCTGTGTCCCGACCAGCATCCCGTCGATTCCACCTGTCCTGCCGCCTTTCATTCGGCGCCCGCGCATGGCTGAGCCGGCCACCTTTGATGCTTACATGATGGAGAGTCTCCCGGACTCCGGTTCCACCCCCGGCTCCGGTTCCACCCCCGGCTCCGGTTCCAC